ACACCAACTTAGAGAATCTAAATACTACAAGACAAAAATTCTAAGATGTCATTGATGCGTTGTTTGATATAATGTACTCTACCATGGTTAGTATTTATGATCTAAATACACGGGAGTATTTAGTTGCTGCAAATGAAGATAAACTAAAAATTCGTGAGGAGAAGAATAAAGAACCTCCATCTACACCATCGAATAGTACTTGAGAAAAAATTAAAACAGTGTACACATTTGCTTTATCATTAAAATATATTAAATAAAATTCACTTCAAAATCTAATAAATCAAATATTTCAAAATTGTATTCCCAATTGACGATTTACTGATTCCCGAACATTCAACTGACTAATTAATTCTATATAATGCACTCTATTTTGCTTTGACAAATACAATAACAACAATTTTCCATAAGTTTCACTAGACCTCTCTGAGATGAATAGTCTTTTTTGTGCGACTCAAAATGTAAAGTAAGTCTTCGTATCTTATTGGTAAACTTGAATATTTGAAATACAAGCAATAAACGTATACCCGTGCGACGCGTGGGCTTTACACCTGGTTGAGGAATAAAGCTCAAGACTTCACTTTACCTAGTCTCTTTTTCAACAAATAAAAAGTTAATTAATTAATTATATGATAAATATTTTCTGATAATCAAAACCTTATTAACTATTCATGACATAATGAAAATCCTTGTAACCCAGAATTGGTAGTATACCATTATTTTAAAACCTGACCCGTTGTGAGGCCCGACAAGGTGACCAAGTCACGGGTCGACCGATCCAACCGGTTGGACCAGAGACATCATCAATAAAAATATTTTAAAATCTAAAAATTAATCCCTTAAATTTTAGTATATTAAAAAAATATCCCTAAAAATTGGAAATTAGGACCTAAAATTTTATTTTACTTCAAAAATACCCCCAAACAATTCAATGGATCCCTAGTTTTTTGAAATATTTCCAAAACACCCCCAAAAAATCACAAGTCAGTCCCTACATGTTTGAAAAATATCAAAAAACCCCTAGAACCTGAACCAATCCAGAGAGGATGCCAGATCCCGATCCGACCTGCCGGTCCGGTCCNTAAGGACATATATCAATACATATTGCAATAATAATGATTTACGCGATATAGAATAAAATGCCTTTTATTATTGATTAATGAACATTATTACAAAGAGTCAATTCTACAATAATTGATTGGCTCTAGGGCGTCTACTCTAACAGTTGTCACCAAAGAACCTTAACATGTGAGATTTGCCACTACCTTCTGATAGGGTCGTTCAACACTATGATAGTTTTACCATATTATTTGTTCCTTAAGTCAAGATAATACTAGGGTTACGAACGTTTATAAAATGGCTACCATAAGTGATCATAGGGATCTCACAATCAAGACTTATCATTGCTTGATTCCCTCGTCACGGTTCAATAACTCTAAGGGCATATGTTAATACATACATATGGAATATGCTTTACATAATATAAACGATGCCTTTTATAGATTGACTAATCATGAGTTATAGAGTCAATATACAACAATATGATTGGCTCTGGGGCACCTACTCTAACATATTTAGGTTAGCTAAAAAATGCGCAAGAATGAAGATAATAAATAGGATTTTTCTACGCAACAATTCGTGCCAAGTCAGTAGACAAGGGCTAACATGTCTTGGTCCAAAAGGGGAAAAGATTCTACCAAACTTTTGGGACCACAGCTGAAATAGGAAATATCAGATTTTCTGGACCACTTCTGAATATTTGGGACACCTGCAAGTGGTCCTCACACCAGCAAATCAGATAACAAAAAATATCTCAGCATAAAATGGAAATACGCAACTTGTGCAAAATGAATCAGACATGTAGATGTTAGTGCAAAAAGAAAGTGTGCACATAGTCGCAATAAAATGCAAAATAAATTCCAACATGCATATGCCTGACATAAGTGTGCAAGCACACCCCATATGTGCACACACTTATAATGAAATTGGAAAAAACATAAGTTACACATAACTGCGCACACACACAACATAAGTTTGACAAAATATTCAAAAACATTTACCTCTAAGTTGACATGTGAGATGGTAACCAAGTATTTTGGGAGTGACATCCTATTCATGTAATTTTAAATTGCTTGACATGAAGATTCATTATAACTTAGAGGTTTTCTTTCCACACAACACAAATTCAATATCCATCATCAGGTGCTGAAATAGCTATTGAAAAAGATGTACTTTAATTGGTTGGAATCATCCATGTGAGTTGTGACATCTGGAAACTTGTGTGTGATTACTATATTTAGTGTAGTTATTCTCAAGATGCCTGTATCATATACTGCAGGAATCATATTTAATTTTTCTTCTTCTTTCTTCAGATGTATAGATGAAAGTATAGATTGTCTGCAATTGCTCCTATTTTGACTTTTATAAAGAATTTTTCGCACCAACTTAGAGAATCTAAATACTACAAGTAAAAAATTCTAAGATGTCATTGATATGTTGTTTGATATAATGTATTCTACCATGGTCAATATTTATGATCCAAATACCCCGAGTATTTAGTTGCTGCAAATGAAGAGGAACTAAAAATTGATGAGGAGAAGAATAAAGAACCTCCACCTACACCATCGAATAGTACTTGAGAAAAAAATAAAACAGTGTACACATTTGCTTTATCATTAAAATATATTAAATAAAATTCACTTCAAAATCTAATAAATCAAACATTTGAAAATTGTATTTCAAATTAACGATTTACAGATTCCCGAACATTCAACTGACTAATTAATTTTGTATAACGTACTCTATTTTGCTTTGACAAATACAATAGCAACCGTTTTCCATAAGTTTCACTAGACCTCCCTAAGATGAATAGTCTTTTCTGTGCGATCCAAAATGTAAAGTAAGTCTTCTTATCTTATTGGTAAACTTGAATATTTGAAATACAAGTAATAGATGTATACGCGCGCGATGTGCGGGCTTTATACCTAGTTGAGGAATAAAGCTCAAGACATCACCTTACCTAGTCTTATTTTCAACAAATAAAAATTAATTAATTAATTATATGATAAATATTTTCTGATAATCAAATCCTTATTAACTATTCATGACGTAATGAAAATCCTTGTAACCCATAATTGGTAGTATACCATTGTTTTAAAACCCGACCTATTGTGAAGCCCAACAAGGTGAGCAAGTCACGGGTCAACCGGTTGGATCGGAGACATCATCAATAAAAATATTTTAAAATCTTCAAATTAATCCCTTAAATTTTAGTATATTACAAAAATATCCTTAAAAATTGAAAATTAGGGCCTAAAATTTTAATTTACTTCAAAAATACCCCCAAACAATTAATTGATCCCTAATTTTTTTGAAATATTTCAAAAACACCCCCAAAAAATTACAAATTAGTCCTGACATGTTTGAAAAATATCAAAAAACCCCTAGAACTTGAACCAATCCAAAGAGGTTGCCAGATCCCGATCCGACCGACCGATCCGGGTTTTAAAACAATGGTATACTTCAAATATATCTTAGGTTCTTGAAGTTATGTTTGTCAAATCAAAAATAGAAAATTTTGTCGAGTTTCCAATTGTTGTATCTTAAAAAAATATATATTATTGATTATTAATTAAGTTATATACCAAAAAAGTTTTTATGAAAAAATATTTTGAAAAATGAAAAGTAACTATGCATAATGCTAATTATGAAATAATGCTTTTATTATAAAGGATAAATTATTTTTCCAAAAAAAAAAAAAAAAAGGTTTAAGAAGCTTTAATGTGTGGTAAATTTATAATAAAATCAAAAAATGATACCTTAAATGGTGAAACTATACCTGAGTAGGAGTCGGCACCTGGGATGATGATACACCTTCTAGCTGTTAAGAAATAAGAGAAAAACAATTCAAGAATAAATTAATTTTTGTTAATTAAATAATAGTATAAAATAATTAAATTGAACAATATCTGGGTGAAGGATCCGATTCTATTAGCTTGTTGTTATGGAATTTATTAAAAAAAAAAAAAAACGACCATGATTTGTTGATGTTAATTTATTAGTTCACTACATGTCAAAGAGAACAAGTGTAATGCTATTTTTTCTTTTATCCTATTCACTAACGCTAATGATCTTAATAGTCTTACATAACTAAGAAAGAACTTGCTATAGTTGTTAATAACTGTTTAGATGGCCTCTTCTGACAAACCGGTTTTTAAAGTGAGCTCTGCCCATCCTTTGAGCAAATCTCATGTAATTACACACACCTACAGTAGCTAGGCATAAAGCCCAACCATCTCGGTATTTCAAGCCTACAGCAAGTCCCCGCCAACTTGATGTATTGTCATGGGATTGGCACTTACCTGCGACAACTAGGCATAAAGCCCATGCCAACTCGGTATATTCTTCGATTTTCAACATCCCCAGCTAGCAAAAAAAATTTGGGAACATAAGGATGAGGAGTTTTCATCTGCCACCTCCGTGAGAGATAAGATAATTTTAAATACCATCAAGGTTTTGCAAAAGTATGAAAAAAATAACCCCTAACTTCAGTCAAATTTAACAATTCTGTCCAATTTTTTATATAATATTAAATTAAAAAAAAAAAAAAGTCCATTTTACCAGCTTTTTATGATTTACCAAACTGTTAATTGCTTAGAAAGACAATTTTATTTTAATTTTTTTTTGAAGTAAAAATAGCCTAATACCCCTTGACTCATAGGGTTAGATAATTAGTCTTCCAAGATTTCATAAATGCCCTTATTTATGTTGACTTTAGTTGACTTGTGTAACTCTGTTTAGCAGCCAGCGAGTTTTAAACGTTAGGAGCATTTGAGTCGCCTCATCTCTCAAGAAGGTGGAGAAGAAAACCCCTAAAGATGAGTGTTTAGTTACAAGAACATAATTTCACCTATACTTAAGTGAAGGTCGATTTCACTTATCAAATGTGTCAAAACTAGCTTAGATTTTGAAGTAGATCAATGAAGAAACTAGAGTGAGGGTAATTTTTATGAAGCAATCTCGTATTATTGCTGTTGTTTATTATCACATATATAACTCTCACATTTTTATTTATTACAAAGTCATAGTGAGAGCTACTAGTACAGCATGAGACGCATGCTAACTAAATTATTCATCATCGATCTAGAAACTTTTAGTTGCAAACGTCCCATTGTTGATTATCCTCATGTTCAGTTCTGTGGCTGCACCAGGGGGCGAATGATGATTTTGTCGACAACAATCCCTTTCTTCCACTGCGAACCGTGCTCATACATAGAGATTTCTATGTCCCCAGTCATACAGCAATTAATCGAAAACATGCCAAAGGGGACGTCTGACCATTTGTTTTCTGGCAATATACTCAAATCTTGTTTGTGTTCTATCGGAGGTTGATTGGGGAGGGTGAGTTTCAAGTTCACTGGATGGTTTTGAAATCCTTCACATCCTTTCAACTTCATTAAGACAAACGAAACTTCGTAATTATGCCTTGGAGTGAGATTTTGTGTAGGGAATTTCTTGCTCACATCAAGCCAACAGACTTTTACTAGTTCAGCCACCTCCACTTCAACAGGATGACTGCAAAAACAAAATTAATTACAATTAGAAGAAGCTTTCATTTGGTACGCCTTATTTGAGTAGAGTTTATAAAAATGGGTTTCATAAGCAAGTCAAATTTGTAAAATAAGATAAGTATATTTTTAAAATTTTAAAACTTTGAATAAGCTCATAAAGAGCTTACGAGAGAAGCTCACATTTTGAATTATTCTCATAAGTGGGTAAAATAGTTGATTTAAAATTCAATAAACACTTTTGTAATACAATCAAACAACCTAAAAATAAAAATTGCTTATGACTTTAAATAAACTCTTTTAACTATAGATAAGTCCAACTGAACACACTTGAAATCTTCATTAACATAAAAATTTGAGTAGAATTATATACTCTTCTGTGTCTTGCATGTAAGTCCACTTCCAATAACGTTCATCGTTTCCCCAAGCAATTGTGAGACCCCTTGCATAAATCTCAAAGGTGTTCGCACCAGAAAGCTTATCAACCGAAAACTTCTGCAGTAATATAATTTGATACTAAGTATTAGTATTGAACTTAATTAATTGCTGCTTAATATTAAACAGTAAAATTGAAGATGATACGAAAAACAATCTATAACATAAATGGGACTTGCCAGTTTGTTTTGGTTCAAGAAGATTCCACCGTGGAGCTGCTCAATCAGATTGTTGGAGGATTTGTCAATCTGTGAGTCTGCCTCTTGAAGAATGGCATCGAGGTTGTGTGGGAGCTGAACTTGAGCTGAAGCCACTCGTTATGATCACTCTTCTCTTTAATTCAAATATCTCTTACTGATGATCTTCGTTACATGAAGACCTTGAATTTATAGGTTGAGATGGTCGAATAAATTACTAATAGATTTCTACATCATTATATGAAAAATATTTATTCCTTGATGAGGCATAGCTGGATTATTCCTTCTAAAAAACGACAACATGATCATGACAGTACGCATTGAATCATGTTATTCAAACAAACAAATAAGATTCCCTGCCCACCACATTTACAAGGGCGGCCCTACATAGGGTCACGTGAGGTCAAGTGACCTGTACGTCCACATTCAGGTACGTAATTTAATTTATGCTCTTATACTTTTAGTTGATTTTTTTGCTAAAGTTATTTTGAGAAAATGTGAAGAATGCCTTAAACTTGCATTAAAGGTAAAATGGTTTTTTCACTCAAAATTGGTTGAAAAAGTGGAGAGTTAAAAGGGGTAGAATTTCATGGAGAATGAATTAAAAATGAGGGCATTATGGTAATTGATTAAAGGACATAAATGGAATTTTAAAAAAAGTGCAAGGGCAAATGGGAAAGTATGCATATTAATATGAGATATTAAGAGTTCAAGCAAAAAGACCCTATCATTCTCTACTCCCTCTCACGCCACTGCACTCTCAATTTCTCTCATCTTTTCATCAAATTTCCAAGGGATTTTAGAGGGCTTTTGGTTGAATTTTAGTAGAGATTTGATCCTAAGCACCCAAAGGTAAGAATTCTTGCAATAGATGTGAGATTCATTTTTAAAGTGTTGAATTCTTATAGTGTTTATGCTTAGGGTTTTAGAGAAAAAACAAGTCTACCAAAGAAAGAGAGATTCTAGTGGAATTACTCAAGTACAAGGTAAGTAAGAATTACTAGTATATAAAGAAAAATTAAATATGGGCACATACTGTATTACTCGTATATATATGTGTATTTTCTTATATATATTTTTAATGAGCTTTAGTGATTATTTTACGAGTATACTAGCTAGAAAGAAAGCATTACATGACCCCACTTGGGTTTTATTTAAAATTTTTTTTTTCAATTTTGCCCCATAAAAAAATAAATTACAGTAAATTAAATTAATTAAAAATTTTGACTTTCTCTAATAATATTTTTCCCCCAATCCCAACTTTTTCTCTTGTCGAACGTGCCCCGCTCCATCTCTCCGATCCCAATTTTTTTTCTAATAATATATTAAAATTTATGCAATAATTTAATTTTGTGTTTAGTCTATTTATGATGAAATATTTACTTAGCTTTACAAATGAACTTTCTCAAGCACTACAAAAAAAAAAAAAAAAAAAAAAAAATCAAGATATTGTAAATGCTATGAATTTGGTTGAAGCATGTAAGCAAGCTTTACAATTGATGACGGATAGTGGATGGGAGAATTTACTTAGCAAAGTTTGTTCTTTTTGTCCCAAACATGACATTGATATTCCAAATATGGATGACAACTTTTTTATTCAAGGGCGATCACAACGGAAGATTGAACGTATCACAAACGTGCATCATTACCGTATTGAAGTATTTTAGTGTCCTAGATATGCAACTTCAAGAGTTGAATAATCGTTTCAATGAAGTAGACATTGAATTGCTTATTTGTTTGGCATGCTTATGTCTAAATGAAAATTTTGTTGTTTTTGATAAGCAAAAATTGATGCGTCTTGCTTAACTTTATCTAAAAGATTTTTCTAACTTAGAACTCATAGCGTTTGATTCTCAATTTGATATTTATATTTTGAATATACACTTTAATGTCAAATTTATGGAATTGAATAGGATTGGAGATCTTGCAAGAGTGATGATTGAAACTAAGAATGATAGAGTGTTTCTATTAGTTTATATGTTGATAAAAATAGTATTGATTTTACTGGTTGCCACGGCTAGTGTAGAGATAGCATTTTCAGCAATGAATGTTTTGAAGAATAGTTTGCGAAATAGAATGAGTGATTAATGGTTGAATGATAGATTAGTTGTATATATAGAGAAGAATGTATTTGATAATATTGAAGTCATTATACAATATTTTCAAAAGATGAAATCTCATCGAGAGCAATTATAAATATAGTTAATGTGAATTTTATTAATATAAATATTTGTGTTTATTTATATTTATATTTATGTTAATTGTTACTTTACCCTTTGACCCCTCTAAGTTTCATTCTTGGGTCCGCCCCTGCACATTTACGTGGTATTACCTCAATTGTCCAATATTTCAAGGGTAACCTGCTACATTCAAATTTTTTTTGGCTCTTTCCATACTTTTTTTCAACGATCAAAACTTCACCAAATTCGCATAGATATTAATAAACTAAAAATATTCTATAAATTCTTAAAAATTTTATTTTATTGTTGTTAAAGAAATAATAGTAAGTTCATTACAATCAAATTGTATCTGGTTTCAAAGTAGAATTAGGAAACTGGAGCGTACATATATAACTGGTAAAAGCAACAACTATCATGGGCAGACCTAGTAAACAAAAAACATTCATTAATTATGCATACTTTTATGTTTTGACTAAACTGTATTTGTGGTTATATTTCCACATTTGACCCCACTCCCATACTTTTTTCATATGTATATTAAATTATTTACAATCCCTTGAATTAGTTTTCCTAGAATTAATATTAAATTACTTTACTTGCCCCTCTAACATTCTGCAAACTATTCCTTACAAATTGATTTGGTAGCCTTGCATATTTGGCATGTAGTCCTCTTTAATTCATTCTTTAATTTAAAAATTATCCAATCATCTTAAACTACAACAATTTGTATCAGATAATTTGTGTAAAAAGTGAAAGACTTTGGAGGAGAAGTCAAGAATCTTAGAGAGAATTGAGAAAGACAAATACAACTTTTCTTCTTTCTTTCATTAACTAACTAACTAACAGAGAGTCACACGTTTTATACATTTGAGAAGAAGCAAGAATAGTAATGTAAAGGTGACAACATAAGCTTTTAGAATCACTTGCTGCAGTATGCATGCAATTTATCTAGTAAGTAATGAACCAAGAAGTGAAAAACAGAGTAACAGCAATCGGCATTACTCTGTTTCTTCATCAGAGCAGGTGACTTTGTCAATACTGAAATGAACATTATCATTGACACTTGATGAAGTATGCTGAGCAAGACAAGAAGTTTCTTTGTGTGCATCAACTGGTATTACAGTGAGTTTATTTCTCAGTTCATGAAACTGAGCAGCAGACAAAGGCTTAGTTAAACTATCTACTATTTGCAGTTTTGAAGGAACATATTGCACAACAACTTTCTTTGTCAAAACCTGATCCTGGATGTAGTGTGCATCTATTTCAATATGTTTAGTTCTTGAGTGAAAAACAAGATTGGCTGCCAAGGCTCCTACACTGACATTATCACACCATATGACTGGAACATTTGCCAGGCTCAATCCCAACTCAGAAAAGACACTTTGAAGCCATGCCACTTCATAGTTGTCTATACTAAAGCGCGATATTCAGCTTCAGTAGAGCTAAGCGCAACAACTTTCTGTTTGCGTGAACTCCATTGGATGAGATTGGGACCAAGATAGATGCAGTAGCCACTTGTGGACCTGCGATCATCCAAGTTGTTGCCCCAGTCAACATCAGCATAACATTCTATGCTAAGTAAGGCTGCTGGTTTGAATTGCAAACCATAATACTGAGTTCCTTTAATGAATCGAAGAACCCGCTGTAATAACTTCTTTTCTACTAGTATGCTTAGAAAAATATACTATAAAAACATACATACTTATTAAATGAAAAGTAGATGGGCCCAAATTTTTTTTCTTTACTAAACATATAATTCGTTACATAATACAAATTAACATATACAAAAGCTTTTACAATGGTGGACAGTGGTGCCATTTCTCTCTGCTTCTTGACGTCCATCCAACCACTTCTCACCTATTTCCTGCAAAACATGGAAAACAACAGGGTGAGCAAAAAATGCTTAGTAAGTAAATCCTCTACTCTTTCCATCCCCGTCACTTATCCTTTCTTTCCTTACTCTATTCTTTTCTTCTTCATTCTTTCTTTGTTCTTTCTCTTTTCTTCACTATTTCTAGTTCTCACTCTTCTTTTCTTTCTTTCTAACTCTCTCTATTTCTTCTTTCTCTCTGTTCTTTCTTTCTTTTTGTTCTTTTTTTCTTTCTTATTCTCACTAACCGTGATGGAAATCATGGTAACATGCAAGAATGAAATGCACATGCAATAATGCATAGAAATGCATTTTCTTTCTTCTTTTCTATTTCTTATGCGATTTCTTTTCTTTTCTTTCTATTCTTTTCTTTCTTTTTCTTTTCTTTCTTGCTCAAGCTCTTCTTTTCTTTTCTTTCTTTCTTTCTTGTTTTCTTTCTTTCTTTCTTGTTTTCTTTCTTTTCTTGCTTGCTCCGGCTTTCTCATTCTTTCTTATTCTTTTTCTTCTTCTTTCTTATTCTTATTCTTTGCCGATCGGACTCGGTTGATGCATGGATTTGGAACCCTAGCCGTGTGAGTGAGTACAGTCCTCATCTACATGCACTCTTGCGGACTGTACTAATTCTTTCTTCTTCTTAGGCCACTCAATTAAGGTGGCATGCATGTAGGAAATTCTTATTGGTACAGCCCTCATCCACATACACTCTTACGGGTCGTACAAATTTTTCTTCTTCTTATACCATCACTTAAGGCGGTGTGTATGTGGAAATTTCTTCTTCTTGTCACCAACAGGCTCCCCATTGCAACAACCTATTCTTTTCTCTTCTTTAGCACTTTTCTTTCTTTAATTCTTTAGTGCATTTCTTTCTTTCTCTTTATTCTTAAAATTCTTTATTCTTTCTTTAAATTAATTCTTATACGTATGCAAATATATGCATGTGGATGGCTCATGCTTATAATTCTTGCTTAAGTGCAAACATGTAATGCAAATATGCAATGTTGCACAAAATTAAGTTTTCGGCATGTGGATGGCTCATGCTTATAATTCTTGCTTAAGTGCAAACATGTAATGCAAATATGCAATGTTGCACAAAATTAAGTTTTCTCTACTTATGTATATGCTTCTCTTAGACATTTCATCAAACATTACGCATGCATACTTAAATTCTACTTTTGGTAAATTTCTACTTCTTTCTTAAACCATCAATAATTGGAGTAAAACTCCCTTGAATCATCACAAATCCTGGCTAGGAAAACACACTTCAAATATTCTATTCAAATTCTCTCTAAATGCAACCAAACTTTACTTGGTCACCACAATCTCAACTCCACTTCTCATGGCTCAAATCTACTCATCAGAAGCCATCTACTCATTAATAATATCATTCTCAACAATCAATCTTAAAATCATAGCATATACATGCATATCAACACATTTGATCACTTAATCTTAGCTTAGGTTGGATTTACTTACCTTGTGCTTGAGTAGTTCCACAAAAGCTCTCTATCTTTGTTGGACTTGTTGTTTCTCCCAAACCCTAAGCATAAACTCTATAAGAATTCAACATTTACACAAATTAATCTCATAACTAGAGTAAGAATCCTTACCTTTTGATTCTTAGGATTAAATCCCTATCAAAATCCAACCAAAAGCTTTCAAATTCCTTAGCAAATTGGATGAAGAGATGAGAGAAATAGAGAGTGGACATGATGTATGGGGTGTAGAGAATGGGAGGGTTGGTAAGGCTAAACCCTTATTAGCTCATATAAATAAACATTCTTTCCCATTTTACCCTTACACTTTCTTAGAAATTCCATCTTTGCCCTTTAATTCTTTACAAATGCAACCCCATCTCCAATACATTCTCCATGAAATTTTCTTACATTTCACTCCCCACTTTTCCTGCTAATTATAGGTAGAATGGTCACTTCACCCCTATGGAAAATTTCTCCAGAAATTCAGCAGACTCTTCACCCCGGCGAAGATTTTTCTTTGCCTCGGTGAAAAAATACAGAGCGTATGTTACCACGAAGAAGTTTATTCTTTGCCCCGGCGAAGTCTGTAATTCTCTATTTCACCAAGTCTTCACCAAATTCAGGGCATCCAAGCAACTTTAACAGCATACCAATTTAACTAAGGGCCAACACACAACTTTAAAGACAAATAAACATGAATAAGCTATGTACCTCAAAGTGGGCGTTACGCCAGCTCACAAGCTTGCCATTGAAGTTTCGTAGGTGCTTGAAGAAATTGGCTAAGCTTATTTACACAAAAGCTGATGTCGGGTCAAGTTAACATAAGGTATTGCAAGGCCCCCACAATACTCCTATAAAGAGTAGGATCTGCAAATAAAGGGATATCACCAGTAAAGAGTTTTGTGCCCACCACCATAAGAGTGGGACAAGCATGCACCTCAAGCATCCTGGTTTTGGAGAGTAAATCAACCACATATTTAGTTTGGTGAAGATGTATGCATTGTGTGTCTCTAGTAGCTTCTAAACCGAGAAAATACTTGATGGACCCAAGAGCTTCAAGAGAAAAATGATCATTCAAGTCCTAAACCAGCTGAAGAATAAAAGATTGACTTGAGCCAGTAATGAGTATGTCATCCACATAAATAAGTACATAAGTAACTTGAGTAGGTTCTTTCAAAATGAAGAGACTAGAGTCTGAATTTGAGTTATGAAACCCTTTGGTGAGAAGTGCTTGTTTGAGATTATCGAACCATGCCTGGGGGGCTTGTTTGAGGCCATAAAGAGCCTTGTTCAGTTTACATACATGAGATGGAAATTGTGAACATTCAAATCCCTCAGGTTGCTTTATGAAGACTGTTTCATTCAAAGTCCCATTAAAAAAAGCATTATTGACATCCACTTGTTGGATGTCTCAATTGTAAGTGAGTGCCAAAGTGAGAACAATTCTGATGGTGGAGGGTTTAATTACAGGACTAAAGGTCTCAAAGAAGTCCAAACCAGGAGTTTGTTGAAACCCTTTGGCAACCAACCTAGCCTTATATTTTTGCAAGGATCCATTAGCATTATACTTAACTCTAAACACCCATTTATTGCCTACAACATTCATATATGAACTTTTGGTACTAATGTCCATGTATGATTGTTAACCAATTCATCATATTCACTTTTCATTGCATCATGCCAAGTCGGAGTAGCCAAAGCCTCTTTTACAGTTGAAGGTTCAGGATGAACCTTTGTAGAACCAGAAGTGATCAGAGCAGTTTTTAATTAACTTGCTTCCTTAGCTCGAGTGATCATTGGATGCTGGTTTGTAACAGATGGTAAATCAGTAGGCACAGTAGAGAACTTTGAGGGATCTAAGTCAACAATAAGAGAACAGGTGGGGAGTTTTGAACTATGATTGGGAAGTGATGATGCTAATATTCGTGAAGAAGTAAGGTTAACTACAAGCGGACAAGTTGATGGAGTAGAAAATCTGTGTGAAGGATCAGAGGGCAGTAAAGACGAGACTATAGGTGAAGTGGAAGAACTTGAAACAACAACATTAGTACCAAGAGCAGAAAAAGGTTTAGGAGAATGAGGAGGTTGAGTTACCTTACTGACTGGTGGAGAAGGACATGGTGGAGAACAGTGCTATAAAGGGATAGCTCTTGCAGGAACTATATCATTGATTGATTAAGTATGAATGATGTGAACAAAAGGAAACTGATTTGTTGAACAAGTGGACTGAGACGTGAACTGAGTAGATAAAGGAGACCACACTATTTGGCTAACAAAGGTATTATTTTCAGCAAAGGGAAATTCTTCTTCATGAATTTTAGCATGGGGAGTAATGTATAGCTTTCCAGTGGAGCTTAGACACTTGAAACCTTTATGCACAAGGCTGTAACCAAGGAAGACACATTTGGTTGTATGAAAATTAAACTTGTGTTGATTAAAATCTCTAATGTGAGGGAAGCAACCACAACCAAAAACCTTAAGAGAGGAGTACAAAGGTAACTAATGAAACAAAGTTTGATAAGGAGATATGAAATTCAGAACTAAGAAGGGCATTCTATTAATTAAGAAAGTTGCAGTCTCAAAAGCACACCACCAAAATTGTAATGGCATGGATGCATAAGCAAGGAGTGTCAAACTTTTCTGAACAACATGTCTATGTTTACGTTCACTTCTCCCATTTTGTTGATGCACATGTGCACATGAATGTCTAAACATGATGCCATTTTGTTCAAGATATGGAATAAGACTCTTATACTCACCACCTTGATCGGATTGCAAGCATTTAAGCTTGCAACCGAACTGCCTTTCAACTAAATGATGAAATTTGATGAACGTAGATTGAGTTTCAACCTTTGTTCTTAAGGGAAAAAGTCATGTAAATCAACTAAAATCATCGACAAACTGAATGTAATATCTATATCCTTCAACATAAAGCATTGGAGCAGGTCCCTAAAGATCACTATGGATCAGAGCTAAAGGTTCAATGGCTGTAGAAAAATAAGAAGGGAAACTATTTTTGTGTAATTTTCCTAATTGACAAGCATCACAAAAAGAAAAAGAGGATGGAATTTTTACCTTTGTTGAATGATCATTGTTAAGGTGAGTGATGATTTTAGTAAATACTTCAAAGTTTGGATGACCTAACCTTTGACGCCAAAGCAAATTTTTGTTGACATGTGTATGATTTGGAAGGTTCATGGCAAGGGCAGATGCATGAAAAGGTTTTAAGTTAGATACTAATATAGATGCAGAAGCAGGTGTAAGTTCAGGCTATGAGATGGAAAAGATGGGTGTTGTAGATGCAGATGCAGAATTTAAACTAGGTGGTAATGCTGGTGTAGATGTAAATGCTGGAATTAAATCAGGTTGTGTTGATGCTGGTGCAGATGTAAGGGCAAATGCAGATGTAAGTCCAGGCTATGAAGTGGAAGAGATAGGTGTTGTAGATATAGATGCAGAATTTAAACCAAGTGGTAATGCTGGTGCAGATGTAGATGTAGGAATGAAATCAGGTTGTGTTAATACTGATGCAGATGTAAGGGCAAATGCAGATGAAGTGATATCAGCAGTAAAAGGTGCATCATGTTTCAAAGACAACTTATCACAAATATTTAGAGAAAAAGGTGCAATTACATCATGATTTTTATTTCAAGCAGCAATTTTATTGTAAGTAGCAAAATTAATACATTGTGATAAAGGGGGTGATACAAGAAGACTTCAAACAGTCAATATGTAAAGATGAATTACAATCAGATTTATCAGATGCAGAATTTTCAGGTTTATTACAATATGCATTACAATTAAAATTGAAAGTCTTAGGATGTTTAGAGTGCTGCAATTTATTAGTAGTGGCTAATGAGACTTGGTTATTTATAGAAGAGTTAGGACAACCTTGACTTTGTGAGGAATGTAAGGAAGACACAAAAGATTGAATTCCAACCAAAACTGATTAAGCAGTGGAATAGGGTAGACTGACAGAAGCAAGGTTCAGTTGATATAGCCTTAAGCTCTCCCGGCAGAAGAACTGTGCTAGTAACCTTGTCCTTAACCACATAACAATCAGAGTGAAATTCTACCACAACATTATTGTCTTTGGTAAACTTTGAAATACTAAGTAGATTTTTCATTATATTTGGAACACACAATACATTCTTAAGATAAAGAGACTTGGACCGCAAAGAACTAGGTAAAGAGGTAAATCCTATGTGTGAAATGTTCAAGAACTCACCATTGCCAACTTGCACTTGCTCAGCTCCTTCATAAGTCCTGCTGTTGTGCATATGATTTACATCCGAAGTGACATGGTTAGTGGCTGTAGAGTCCATATACCATGCTAGATCTTGTGGTGTAATATAGTTGGCAGTGGAAAGGCAATATTTGGCAGATGAGGTGCAGCAAAATAAACCTGACTGGATAACATAGGTTGCTGACTAGGAACTTTGAAAGCTGAATTATCAGTGTTTGGAACTAAAGCAACAGGTTGCCACCCTCTAAAGAAATCTTGTGAAAAATAAAATCGATTTGAGGAATTCACAAATGTTGGTCTTGGTTGTGCTTAATTACTAAAGTAGAAGTGATCAGAGGACAAATGTTGATTGCCAGACTAAGTAGAATCAAGTCTTCTCCCATGTCCAAAAGAGTTGTTGTCAAGAAAAGAATTTGACTGTCTATTGTTGAAGACAATACCACCAGAAGATCCAGATTGTGGTGAAACTCCATTGTAAGTGGAATAATACCGGTGATAACATTGAATAGCTATGTCCTATTTTCCCACATACTTGACAAATAGGTCTCCCTTTAGCATTCCCTCTGCCACGACATCTGCTGTAGCTATTAAACACTAGTGGTCTGTAATTATTGAATTGTGATTCAAACTGTCCAGCATGGGAAGGCTGATATGTCTGTCCATGTGAAACAAAACCAGTGGAAGGTAAAAAAGAGGCAGGAGGTAGATAGTGTGGGACATAGTTCTATTGCACTTGAGTAGTTGGCATAAGATTTATAACTTGTGTTGGTATAGGTTAAGAAGCACTACCAGCATGGGATGCAATATTTGACCCATTATGCAGAGTTGGTGAACTATTAGAGTTATTGATTGCAGCAAGATGAACTGAACTATTTGAAAAATCAACAGAATTAAATTTCCTAATTCGCATTTCATATTTTTGTAGTAGATATTGTGCCTCTTGGATTGTAACAGAATCAAACTTGGATTCTACTCTAGATGTCAAATTTACAATAGCAACATCAAATTTTGGTCCTAAACCATCAAGAATATGCTGAAGCAAATCTTCATCAGAGACATTTTGACCACTACAGTTTAGGCTTTCTGCAATACCTTTCATCTTCTTAAAGTAATCACAGCTAGACAAGTTCCATTTATGTGTGTTCTGTAACAAATGTTTAAGGTGCAGAGCTTTAGCCTTTGAGTCACTTTAAAATTCATTTTCAAGAGTGAACCAAATATTGATGTGTATTTACTACAACATACATAAATAGCAAGTGCACTAGTCACATAAAGTAATAAAGTGATGAGTGAGTATCGTTCCCACAAGGATTGATTTGTTAAGCACTAACTTTCCTAAGTGTTTCTCAAGTTGGAGCAACCACAATTGTTTGGATTAATGGGAGAATTAAAATTAAACTAAAAACAAAACCTCTAAGTATTAAAAATTGAATATTGAAAGAAAGAAATTAAACGCAAGGATAATATCAATTTAACAAACGGTTAGGGTTTTGACTTTATTCGGACTCTATGGATGGATTCAATGGATTATGCTAATTCCACACTCACATGCACGGATTGTAAATCGAATTCTCTAAATTGTCAAACATACCTTCTCAGGCTATGAATTCCTACTTTTCTCTATTACACTTCCACACCCAACAAATTGAAGAATAATAGAATCAAGTTCATTAAGCTAATAAAACCCTAGGTTGATTTCATTGGTTCTTAAATTTATCTCTAGCATTTAATACTACAATGGTGATTACCCAAGAAGCTCAACATGATTCATTTCTCAATCTCATCATGTTCATCAAATAAATTCCATAAAAATAGAATAACCACACAATCTATGCAATAGAGGATGGAAATAACAGTAATCAATTCATTAATCCATAAAAATCCGAAGTTCATCAAAACCCTAACCCAAAAAGGGTTAGTTCATAACTAATTTAACATAAACAGTAAAGACAATAGTAAATAAAACAGTAAGCATATTGAAATAAAGAGAAAGAAAAGATATCTCCCCTAGTTGAAGAATCTCCAAGGTTAAAATCTCCAATCTTCTCTATTTCTCAACATAAATCCAAGTAATGTTCAAAGAAAACTCTAAAACAAGGCAAAAACGTCTCCCCTTCCAAAAATGGCAAAGTGTTCCTTTTATACGTCGCCCTAAAAACTTAAAACCTTCCTCAAATGAAACTGTACGTTTTGAAGAAATCTGAAATTCGCAGACTTCGCCGCGGCGACGAGGTAAGTTGGAATCCCGTTGTTAACTTCCTTCACCGCGGCGAAGAATAGAGCTTCGCCGCGGCAAACCTTCATGAAAAATTCTGAATTTATAGAATTTCCCTCGGCTTGTTTCTTTGCTTGAATCTTCAATCTCCAATGCTTTCCCATGGGAACAA